TCTCGTCTTGATGCCGGACCGGCAAGCGTCCCGAATTTTGGGCCAACCTCGAGCGGGCCAGGCTTCTCGGCCGTAGCAGCGCCTAAAGGCGTGCGGTATAGTGGAATCCGCGTGGATTCCTGCCTAACATTTTAGGAGTCGAACTTTATGGCCTCCGGCTTGTAGATGCCAGGCGATGACCGGTCGCCAATTTCGCAGATTGGCGTGACAGTCGCTTCATTCCAACAAGAGGGAAGCCTGCCTTCGTCAATCGACTGACGAAGTGTTTAGAGGAAATGCCTTTCCAGTGTGGGCGACGTTTCCTTCAGGACCTTTGGGTGGACCTCGTCTGCTCCAAACGCGCTGAAGGGGTTTGTCTTGTGCAAGAGTTGTCAACTATATTCATACTAGATGGAAAATCGTTTTTTCTCGTCTAGGCTAATTGTGTTGTTTTTTCGTCGCTTATTAACTTTTACACCCTTGACTGATTTCGGATCCAGTAGATTTCTGCATTTATAAGTTATCATTTGGTCCTTCGAATATATTCTTTCTATCGTTCCAAGTAACGTTCTGGTCTTCATTTGCAGGTTACGCGGAATCTGTTTTATTCGTCCAGTTTTGCGCCGCTTTTCTTGGGGAACAGACCACGTCATGACAACTGTTCTGTATATCTGCTCCACTGAATCTGGTATCGTTTTAATCAAGTCATGGAAGATGCGTACTCTCTATTACTCTGTGTAACAGAACTGTCGAATTCATATTTGGGGTTCCGGATTAATAATAATAATTTTTAAATGGCGTGAGCATGCCGTGAGGCGTCATGGTGATATTAAAGTCAGAATGAACTCATGACTACTGGGATTTGTATGTACGCATCCTATAAGACGTGGACAGGCTCACAAATAGTGAGCGTCATCTGCGCGGACGCGATCACGCCTAAACTGGCACGATCTAAATGTGATTCACATCGAGGGCATGGAAACACAATATTCTGTGGAACATATAAAACTAAAGCAAGGTAAGAGCGCTTTTGAAATTTGAAGATGGTGGACAGAAACTCAACAAGGGACGGCAAAACTAGAAACACCCTCTCTGGTACGTGGTAAGAAAATCCCAAATAGCGGATCACAACAACAGATCTGAAGAAATAGCAGTGCTGCAACGGTTCGGCCTCTGAAAAAGTAAAAATTAAACCTTCTATATATGATTTAACCATGTGTCTTTCGCTGATGATAACCTGATCCAGTAATTATGGTAGTTGACCAGCTCGATACCCGGTGGGTGTGTCAAATTCGAGCGCTCTGTTGTACGATGCAACGTATCCGCTACTCCCAATATTCTGAAACTCCCTCTTGGAGTGCGCGGGAACGTTAAAATCACCTACCAATAAAACGTGGGTAAACTGCCAACTGAAGGAAAGCTGTCGAAAAAGTTATCATCGTTAGCAAGTAGTATCATTTTCATTCCTACCTGCCATAGCAAGGGAAAGGTTTGTGTGAAGTAAAGAACCATCTCTAGAGAATTTGAGGGGCAATCGTGGACGACGCCGAGAAGAGGTGGCGGACGCTGAATTCTCAGCGCACCACATCAGGATGTAACAGTGGTGTTAGAGGGGTCTATCGGGGCGGGTGAAGCTGCATTTAAATATTAAGTAATTCAACCCGCCCATCCTTTTGATCGCCTGCACGCACGGGTACGGGCCAGGAAGTTACTATAAGTGGTCGAGATGAATGATAGTGGCTACCGTGATCATGGTGATCGATTATAGATGCGCTTTATGGCGGATTCTACTCATTGAGCATCATACCCTAACAGAAATGGCATCACTGTGTTATTAACATACTTGCAGTTATCTCCTGACGCTGTATTGTACACAGACTAGTCATGCATATCTGGAAAAGGGGCTCATCCACAGAGATGACCCTCGCATCGCCACTGTGCAATTCATGCAGCTGTCTAACAATGTTCTACCTGATAGAAGGCAAGATTTATAGGAAAGTGTGTTGTGCCGAAGTTTGCCGAACACATTCATTTCACTTGTTAAATCTGAGGAATATAAAGCAAACAAACGTCACTGGCCCATTTTCCTTGATGGACTTTGCATTGAATATTTTGTTTTATCTCATTCCTAAAAAGCACCGAAGAACGTCGAAATATGCTAAAGTGCAATTATGTGATTGATCTCTCGTAAACCGGTACCAAAATGCAAATCGTTGATTGTCCGTGATTTTGAATTAATGAAGACTTGTTAATCGGGCACTGTATTTCAGCAAAGTGAACCCGGTGATCAATGTAACTAGAGTGAAAAACAAGATGACCTTTGTCACCGGTAGCCAATGATTTAACGGTGGTCCTATGCTTACAGAGGTAGTTACTTACTGTGTCCAGGGCGATAGCGCAATCGGGGCATCTACAGAGTGCCAAGGACGAATTCTAACATGGTAGTTTCACGTATGAATCTTAGGGGTTCTACATAGTAAGACGTCGTAACCAATGACAAAAATTTTGCACGCACATCTTTCTTGGCAACCTGATAAACATGTAACAGTTTTACATTTTGTGTGCTTGGCAAACAAACCGCGTCTGAATACAGTTGTCCAATGATGAATCCGCCGTTTCTGCGGAACCAGATGAGATTCCTTCTCACACAATTCTTAATGCCAGAGTTGTGTGCAAGAGAATCGGATCAGAACGCTTTGAAACCGGCATCAGAGTGGTTAATATGCACAGGAGCAGGTGGTCAAGCACCCTTTCTACTCGTGGTATTGGTGAATCTGACGTAACGTTGGGCGCACACAACTAACATATTAGGTACATATATATGAAATAGAGTCCCTCAGTTACAACTAGTGGATATTTTGTGGTCTAGCCGTCAAGGTCATGTAGCCTTGGAAGCACCGCAACTGAGCTTTTAACCTAAAGAAGGCACAAAATATCCACAAAACTTAATGGACTAAGGTATCGTGAACTAAGAAGAACAGTTTATCACTCCTGATGGAAACCAGTGCAAACTATCTTTTATTGCACAAAATTGCACCTACAGTGATATTCTAAAGCCGGTCGTCTACAATATGATACACTTAACAAAACGTTGATAATTTTGAGAGTTCTCGTACATCACGATGGATACTAGTGCACGTGAGTAAATACAAAGTTTTGAGAAAATCAACGTCTTCCGGTATTTCTGCAGTATGGTTCCCAGGGTCAAAATCAAAGTTAACATAACTTCCGTCAATTTAAACGATGGTTTTGTAACGCATTTGAAACTCGAATGTATCAGCTTGCACGCCCCTCATAGGACCTTATACGTGCCTCTTTCTCTCTTTCCCTATTACAGGTTCCATGTTCGAGCCACCACGAACCCCGGACAGGAAAGAATAACCGCTTGTACAACCCCCTGACTGACCTTGACCGATCCCCTTTTGTACACTTCCGATTTCCGGTTTCGGTTTCGGTTGAATACACGTGTGTCGTTACCACGCTCCGGTGTTCTCTTCTGTCCCGCCCGAACTGTGCGCATGTGTGTTGTGTATACCGTGTATACTCATTAATACCAGTCCGTATATCTGCACATTCCAGAACCGATGTGTTCCGTCGCTGCATCCTCTCGAACATCGAATACCGCTGGCTTCCTGACGTCCCACGCTACAGTTTCCTGCTGAAGGTTGGCCAGGTTCTGGCTAACAAGATGTCACGTTATGTAAAAATTTACGCGGAATTCCGACAAATCACATTTGGATGCAGTAGGAGATGGATTAAAACATTGGTGAAAGACTCATCACTAACTCAGTTTGTTGAATATTTGTCATCGAGCACTTCCAGGCAAGTTACGGTCTATTGAGCATTAGCGGCTCTGAAAAATTGGTTCTCTCTGAAACATTCCTTAAGCCTACTGACACTGACACAGGAGGCTTTCAGTGTCGACCTACGAGTATTAAACCGCTTTCTAGTTGACTGAATAAACTGGAGTCCAATACCTCGAACTGCAACTTGTCTGAGGGAGCCTGACATCGAGAACCAGTACACTCTTGCCTTCGTGTGTATGAATGGAAAAAGAAATTAGCACTGAGTAGTCCTTTCTTTATATGCACTTCCTTGGACAGTTTTGGAGGTACTTGGTCAGAGGCCCTAGTAACAGCGAGACCAATTTATGGAACCATGCAGATGGCATAAAAATCATGTGTTAAAAGCCAGCACCAACCACGTACTTGTTAGTGAAATACACTCGTTTGCAAACCGATTTGGTTTTGTGAAACTATCACCGGGAGCCTAGCAGAATCTCTCGTTTATGATGTCGAAGATTTTTCAGCAGCCTCGTAAGTGGTGAATTACGTTCATAGACTTGATTGTTACTTTATTTTTTAGACTTCGGCTTTAATGGTATTTACCCCATGTTACGTGGGCACATTCCTGTCCCTCATTTTTTCGAGTTAATATTCACAGGTATTTCGAATGCAATCTACTGAACAACTTGGTGGTGATAAAATCGTTCTACCCTCTTTTGCAATATCCTTTATAACTTTCATTCAAATGTTGATTTTTGCTTTTACTCAAGAGTTCCGTTTATTCGGCTGGAATGATGAAGTCTCAGTAGGAGAAGAAACTAATTATATCTTGTCTTGGAGCACGCACCGGTGAGTGGAAGTTATCACTTTCGGTTGCCTCAAGGCCTGTGGAGCTGGCATGCTGGATCAAAACCATTTTGAGTTCTGCGCACGCCACAGTAATCGGACACTCTTCAAAGCTGTGTAGGTATTTTTTCGATGATACTGAGAAGCAGCACGGTCTCCTTACATCACCGTAATTCAAATCTTTTAAGCTTATCTTCACTACCTCTGGGGTAAGAAGTGATATCCAGAAATTCAATATTTGGAGTCGCCATCGGAATGCGCGAATGTTTCCTATCAAAGCAAAGAAGGAATACCATATACCGCATTGTATTTTGCGCTCTTGGTACACCAAAGCTATTAGATAAACAAAAGAGCACAGGCATTCATGTTTAGCCATTAACAGTTGAGAAAGATGGGAGGCGTCAATGGCCAACCAACCCCGACTTCATACTAAACGCAAGTGAGAAGCCTATTTTTTCCCATCTACACTCGGTGGAGTGGGCGTGGGTGTGTCACACCATTCAGATAAACATGAATTTAACGATCGCTAATGATCAGGTGTGGGATAAAACAGTAACCCAGCAATGAATTGATAATAGCCTAGGCCGATTTGACAGCATAAGCATCCGTCATCCTTTGGTTATATCTAGTTATCTAGCTACAGCGTTCTGTTCCATGCTTCTCTGCGCGTCTTACTGATATTACACAGAACTTTCTATACACGGATTTCTGATTTGGTCGGAATGCGGCCGTGTTCATCGTGCAAACTGGGAATAAAACAGGACTCCTGAGAAAAACAAGAAGATGGACGCCCATGGTTGGAAGTA